TCCCTGTCTGAGCTCTTATTCTTGCATGTAATTTTAACTTTATTTGTACTGGTACAAATAGTAGTAGCATTGTAAATTTCTACATATAGTGGTTTAATGGTTAGCCCTGACCACAAGTAGAAGCCTTGGTAACTGTGCTGTAGTAATTTACATTGTAACTATTTTAAAAATTATTAATAAAGATATAAGCAAGGCCTCACCTTAACACCAAAAAAAAAAAAATATATATATATAGCTATAGACTACAAACATATTAATTCTAAAAATTTTTAATTTCAAAAATATATTTTATAATTAATATATATGGGGCCATTGCAGTAGAAAGAACCAAAACTCAGAAATATATAATTTTGAGAAAATCATATTTGTTTTGTTCATACTGATCTGGTTCAATCAAAAATTTAGAGATTTGATTGGTTAGCTATATCAGATAATCTCATAATATACGAATCTTCTAAAAAGTTTTTTATATATATTTTAATTTTTTATTAAGCAAATCAGTTTCTCTTCATAATAAAAAAATATAGTCTGTCTCGAAATTTATTCAAATCTTACAAAAACTCGATTTTAATTTCTGGGAAAGTTTGGGCCCTTTCTACTGCAACAGCCCTATATTTTAATATAAAATTATATAAAAAATTTTTTAATTTTTATAATATAAGACTATTTAAACAAACCTAGCTAGCTAGCTTTTTTTTTAAATTTTATATATATAAATTTTATAAATTTTTTAAAATTTTTTAAAAATTTACCTGGTTATAAAACATATAAAAAATTTTTAACAAGTTTTTAAATTTTGATCTAGCTAGGTTATAAAAACCCAAAAAAATTTTTTATATAATCTAATTTAATTTTTTAGACAAATATAGATTAAAAAATAAAAATTTTTACTATAATATATTTATAAAAAATATTTTTTAAGACTTATTATACTATATATAATTTAAATTAAAATTTATTTAAATTTGTATAACAAATTTAAATAAATTTTAACTATTCTAATAGGTTTAAATTACAAATAAATTAAATAGTTTTTTGTCTATAGTCTGTATTTTATTTTTATAAAAATTTGTAAACCTAACTTTAGCTAGAAAAACTCTTATTGCAAATTATAAATAAAGATAAAAACAAAATCTTAAAATATTTTTTGTAATTAAGATTATACAAATTAATTAATTGATTTTATTATTAAAATTTAAAAACTTTAAAAAAATTTTTTTTATATGCTTTAATAATCGAAAAAAAATTATAAAATTTTTACGTAAAATTAAAAAAAAAAAAAGTCAACCGGCCAGGTCAGATTAAAAGGTTCATTCCATGAAACAAAGAAATTAAATTGTATAGCTTAATTTAACTTCTTTTTTTTTTTTAACTTCAACTAATTTGAAACCAGTAATAAAGCAACTATGCGGATAATATTAACTAAAGATTATACCGGATAGACATTTTGGCTAATTGATTACTCGGTAACCGGGTAATTTATCATACCCAGGTAAAAATTTTTCTGACCAGTACAATCTCTAAATTAGATGTTTTATATTGTTTTTGTGAAAATAAGATACTACCACGTGTACCTAGAATTTTCAATTTTATTAGAGCATCCCTAAATAAAAACCTTGAGACACGTTCTATCAAATGTATAAGAACGGGATTTACAGGTTTTTATTTGGCAACGCTCATGAGCGTATCAAATAAAGATCTTTAAATATGTTGATCTAGCGATACCGACACTATGAGGTAAATTATTAGTAACATTAGATGCGTTATTAAGAAACTATTTTAGTGCCAATCTTCAATTCACAATAAATAATAAAAAGAGAAATTATTATTCTTCACAATGAATACGTATAAAATGGAATTACTACAAAACGACCAGTTCTGAATGTAGTAGGTCTTGCCCAAAATAACAAACTTTAATAAATTTTCGAATAACAATATTTAGTAATTTCACACCGTGTCTTATCTCTATAAACATATTTATATTCATTTACATAAATTATAATCGATTTACATAATAAAACTTAATACCCTGCAATTTGTGGGTAAAGTATCGGTATACAGTAAGTATTTATATGTATATGCACAATTCATGTAGAATAGGCGCCCAAAAGATTTTCCAGTAAACCTTACCTTAGATGTATGCCAATCGGTCGATCATGCAATAGACAACTAATTTAGATCCATCAGCACAAAAACGGAACTAACTGTTAACGTATAAAATAATTCGCCTATAATCTTCCTTAAATATAAAATGACGTTTTTTTTTTTCTTTGATTTTAAAATAGCAAGTATAATTATGGCAACTTATACATATATATATATCATGCGTATCGGTATCGGTGATTAAGACCATATACAACTCGAGCGAACTCTAGTGCTAATAGATCATTCTAAGAATTAGGATGATAAATTTCCGGATTAAAATTTATCAACAATTAATATTATAATATAGTTATCTTATGACTATAGCTCTTACGACATTAGGCGCCAAAAATCGATAGCGAAAATCTAATTAAAGTATCGCTATATCTGTCATAACGTCAATCCACATGCCCGATCAGATATGAAGGGTTTTGCCGAGGTCACTTCCCGAGGTCCCATGAATTACGACATCCGAGCCACATATGGATCACGGCACTTTTTTTTTTATATATACGTACATATGTACATATGTACATTTTAAATGTTTTATGAATTGTACAACAAATGACAACAGAAGGCATCAACAAACAACAAAAAAAAAAAAAAAAAAGCAAAACAACTTGCTCGGCTTTTATACAACATAATGTCCCATTAATTACAATACATAATATAATTCTATATAATTCTGATACACAATATATATGTATTTATTTTAAAATTTACATTTATATCAAAGGGAAATGCCTTCCGTTCATTCCTCTCGATTTTTTTTAATTAATATCGATCTTAGCTTTATCTTAGTTTTATTTTTATTGTAAAAATAGTTTCATGTACTTATAATTATCTGGTCGCTCTCTAAGTACGTAGCATTAAATCGACCACCGGAACTTGTTATCTCCTTGCTTATTAAGCGTCCGCACCGATCCATTTTAGGTTTGCTGCAGAGAGAGATTTGCCAGTCTTAAAAAAAAAAAAAAAAAAAAAAAAAAATACAAATACCCAGACATATATAACTTTTTAAAACACATATATAATTTTTTTCCTTTGCCTCTTCGAAAAACAACTTTTTAATCGAAGAGGCTCCTTTGCATAACTTATATATTAATTACATACATTTTCATTCATGTTTGCAAAATTGTGACGATATCCTAGTTTTTCATCATTTTTGATTAAAAGATTATTAATAATTCGAATTTGAACAGTAAATATAAATTCATTCAAATAATTCTTTCGAGAATTTTTAAATTTGTATTTTCTAGTTTTTTTTGTTTTCACTTGTTTGCTGTATATATCAAGAAACGTAATCATCTTCCGAATTCGGACCAATAATCGCTTTTTTTTTCTTAAAAAAAAAAAAAAAAATTACACCCATTACGCAAGATAAACTTTGATAAACTCGTCTAGTCCCTTTCATCATCCACTTCTTTTACGGTTACTTTGCACTTTACGAAACAACACGAACAACTTTCCCGTATCCAAATTCATTGTCAGAGGTCTGTGACAATCCGTCTCCAAAATCTTTTCTTTTAACGCAAATAATATTATTTGCGTTCTTAATTATTGCAAAGAAAAAAAATTTGGTTTGACTAAAGGAGATGAGCGTTGTTTGTAATTCTCCAAAATTCGAAGTATCAAACGATCAGTCTTCGTATTTTAATCTTCACATGCCTGGTTCTTTTATGCCTACACCTTCTGATGCTTCGCCTGGATACTTCGACTTAAATCCTTCTTCTTCCCCGGCACAAACCCCTTACTTCGATGCCTTAAAACAACAATCTCCATCTCAAACCCCTTTCTATGAGTGCGAACCTTTACCAACTCCATTTTTTGAGCAATTACAAAATCAACATGGCCTCATACACAATGACAGTCGTAATGTCAATGTAACTCTCAATGGTATTAATAATCCTTCTTCCAATAATTCCGATGCGCAATTTCCATTAATGACTCCTGGGTGTCCTTCGATCAGGAAACCTAATTCCTTTCAAGAAGGCTTGGTCAATTCTTGGACAAAAAATAATAATACTTTCGTCCCAAAATTACCTCCCATGCGTCGACAAACTATGAAAGCATCCTCTTCTAATAAGAAACCTGCTTCGATACCAGCTGGATTATCTTTTACGCCCTTCACTTCTACTTTAGAAGAATACTCGATAGATCGTGTTGCTGAGATGATAAATCTTAAATTATCTGCTGAACCATCGGCTTCCAAACTCATTTTATTACTTGATCTAAGGCCGTTCAACATGTTCACAACTGAGTGGATCAAGACTTCTTTAAACATTTGTATTCCTACTACTTTGTTGAGAAGGTGTTCATTTACTGTTGATAAGGTCTTCGAAACTCTTGTCTGTGATTCTGATTCGGATCGTGACATCTTTAAAGATTGGCCAAATTACGAAAATATCGTTTTGTATGATAACGATTCTGTTTCTTTATCGGATGGTCCAATATTCCATTTATGTAAGAAATTTCAATCTTCAAATATAAAAGCAAAGATTGGTTTCTTGAAAGGTATGCTATATACTTTATTTTTTTAATTTACTAGTATAATTATTTATAATTATTACCTATTATTATAATTATAATTATTTTATTAAAAATTTTTTTTTATATATTTTTTAGGTGGTTTCTTGACCTTTTCTGAAAAATATGAGGATTTATGTGAAAAGACTATGAGAAATGGTTCACTTCCTTCCTCTGCCAAAGCTCCTCGTTGGCGTCCCTCGATAAATAATAAACCTGGTCCTTTCACTTGTCCAACTCCTATTGTCGAAGCCGCTGGTGTTAATCCTTTTTTCGCAAATATTCGCCAAAACCTTGAACTAAGTAGTGGGATTACAGAGACCATCTCTATTCGTGTCCCTGATAATATTGATCATTCGAAATTACCTGGCTTTATACGTGATGTCATCGGCGAAAATGGTGAAATTAAATTAGCCGAAATCTTTCAAGTAACTATACTTTATTTTTAATATATATATATATATATAATATTTATATTTTTTTATGTATAAAATTTATCTTTTTTTTTTCTTTTTTTATAGGACATTGAGCGTGCTGAACAAAGGAGATTACAATCTCTCATGCTTCTTAATGGAAATCAACCAACTCCAGACTGTCCTTTTAGTATATCCGCTGGTATAGAAAAAGGTGCTAAAAATCGTTATAATAATATTTGGCCTTATGACCATTCTCGTGTAAAAATTACTGAACGCAATGAGGGTGATTGTGATTATGTTAATGCGAGCTTTGTTCAAGCTTCTGGTTGTAATAAACGTTATATCGCTACTCAAGGCCCTTTACCTGCCACTTATAATGATTTTTGGAAAGTGGTTTGGGAACAAAATTCTCGTGTTATTGTTATGTTGACAAAAGAGCAAGAAGCTGGAAGGGTATTTATCACTATAATAATCAATCTACCTTTTGTGCTTTTATTTATTTATTTTATTTTACAATGTCATTATATTATTTATTAAAATAGGTTCTTTGTCATCGTTATTGGGCTGAATGCATGACCCCATGTAACTACGGTTCTCTCGAACTCACTTTTATATCAGAAACTTCTCCTATTACTAGTTCAAGTGGTTCAATAGATAGCATCGTAATTCGTACATTTAGTCTAGCTCATAAAAATCATCCCGAAATTCCGGCTCGTGAAATTACACAATTGCATTTCCAGGGCTGGCCTGACTTTGGAATTCCTGATTCACCATGTCATATTCTTAACTTAATAGAAACTGCTAATATAACTCAACATAATGCCTCGATGCAATGTGACTCTTCGCAAGATATTGGTCCTATGATCGTGCATTGTTCGGCTGGATGTGGTCGCACTGGTGCTTTCTGCACTATTGACTCCGTTCTAACTATGCTTAATAATGGTAACTTGGATATGAACAAAGATATTATTCAGGAAACTGTTTCCCATTTTCGAGAACAACGTTTGAGCATGGTACAGACTCTTAGGCAGTTTGTATTTTGTTATGAGGCAATTTTATTTAAAATTGCTGGCGTGGTTTAATACTGGAATTATTATTTGATATGAACATTAGAAAATTATGGATGAATTTCAAAAGGATTGTCTTTCAACGTAATTATTATAATTAATCACTAAGATTTTATTTGTAAAATATGTTTATACTTTGCGCTTTTAGAAATTGCGCTTACATAGCTGTGTAAAAAAAAACAAAAAAAAAAGATCCAAAAAAAAGAAAAAATAGAAAAATTATGTGCGATCAGCTCATATAAGGTGAAAAAAATTTCGAATCCTTGATTCTTTTTTCGTGTTTTCCCTTATAGCTATAATACTAGCACAAAAAAAATAAGAAAAGTTGAACTTTTTCTTCCCCTTATTTATCCCCTTTCTATGTATTATATTTTTTTCTCTAAAAAAAAAAAATATGAACGAACGAAATTCTCTCCCTTAATTCAAAAAAAAAAAAAAAATCATTATATTTATCTACGATGTTTTCACAATCATATTTTCTTTATGTAATTTAGTTTTTATTCTAAGTTTAACAAAAAAAAATTATTTTCGTTTCGTGTTTTCATATCGTTTTCGTTTCACAAATTCAGATTTCGTTTCACTCTTCATATTTTTTTTCTCCTTTTTACAAAGTACGTAAAATTAAATAAATATAAAACAAAAATACTTTAAAAATCTTATTTAATTCAAATGAAATTTTATCAAAAAGAGCAAATGTTTGCCAATTTTGATATTAATAATGTTTTTTACCATTATTATGCAAAATTTAAGTGTATTTTATTAGCTAGACTAAAAACGTGCTTTGTATAAACAAACTTTATTGTTTTGAACTGCATTTTAGACAAATTTTTTGACAAGTAGATTATAGTGATTTTTAAATTATATATATATTTTATTTACAAAAATTAATTTAACTAAAGAAATTTAAACCCAATTTTTTTTTGCAAAGCTAGCCTCTTAATAAATTTTTATTAGTTTTATTAAATCAAGATGCTTTTAGAAGCTTTTAATAGTAGTATATTTTAATAAAAATACAATTAGTTACACAGTATATATACAATTTTTTTTAAAGATTTA